TCCGCTCGAGCGTGACTTCCTTCGCTCGAGCAGACTGTAAACTTCATGAAAAGTACTGGATGCATGCAATTCACTCTCGACGGACGTTCAACCTCCGCTCGAGCGTGAGACTCAGGTCCTCGCTCGAGCGTGAACTCTCTCGCTCGAGCGGACTGTAAAACACAAGAACTTCTGGGTACATGCATTTCACGCTCGAGCACAACTTTCCACGCTCTAGCGGAAGTGCACGACTCAGAGGGTACGCTCGAGAGTGAAGTCCTACGCTCGAGCGTGGGTCCAAAATCTGAAATTTCCAAATTCATCCCCAAACACAAAACTCAAGCATTTAAGCCTCAAACTCGATCATTTTGGGCTAATTTTCTGGAAAACACTTAAAAACCTATAATACAACATGTTTCAAAGATCAATTTTGTAAAATCAAGCTCAAAGATAAATCAATTGAACACCAATTTCAAATAAACTTCAAGAACAAGATGTATATTTAACATGCATGTGTTCAATTGAATTCAAAGCTACTAACACATGACCAAATGCAAGTTTTAGCTCAAGAACATGATGAATTCATGGACTACAATTAGAAAATGGACATGCATGTGGAAATTCATGAAGAACAACCTCAAAATGCTATGGTATAGACATGCATGCATGAATTCACTCTCAAATTCAACTCTTTAAACCAATTCTTGAATCTAAACACTAATTTACCATGGACCATGCAAGACACAACTCAAATGTACAAATGAGATGATGAAATCTCTACCTTAGGTCTTGAATTCAAGGTACACAAGCTCAAATATGCAATCTCTCTTCAAGTCTTCTAATTTTCCAAGCCAATTCTAGGTGAACTCAACTTTTCTTCCAACTCTCTAGCTCTCTCGCACGTTTGGTCTAGGAAGTGGCTGAAGAAATGTTATGTCAAATGTGTATGACGTGAAGAGGAGTTAGCGTAGAATCACCCACTCAATGGCATAAATGCAAATAACTCAAGTTGATGTATTTTAACTTTATTTAATCTAATTTAATCATACCAAATCACATTTCAATTAAATCTACCATAAACTCACATAGATTCTAATTATCACAAAATACCAGTCAATTTCAGATTCGGCCGCCGATAAGGCCTTCAATTTACAGTTCGAACTTAAAACATGAACAGATCAATCAATTGATAAACAGATAAAAATGCAACCAAGCAACATACTCATGCAATCAGTTTAGGATTTCCTCCTAATCAGTTACTTATCATATTCAGTCACAGTTTAGCAGTAATCAGAGGTGAGGGTTGTCACACGGCGGCGGCGGCGTATGTGTTGGTGGGAGATGGCGGCATGTATGTTATTTGTTCGATGTTAGTTGGATTTGTTTGGTTATTGAAAATATACGTGTTGTCAACATTGAAAACAATATATGTTTGCATGTTAGTTGACTGTAGAAATTGTGTTGACGTCGTACTGTTATTGTCTTGGTGATGGTATTGGGGGTGTAGAATTTGTTGAGGGTTTATTGGTATGGCGAACATTGTGGTTATAGTTTTGGTCTGTTCATGGGTTTGTCGATTTGTTGATGTAATTGTCTGGTGTGAAAGTTGTTTGTGTGAGATGTTGGCATGAAAATCAATTTTGTGATGTTGTGTGTTAGGTGGCCTTATTTTTGGAAGTTTTTTTTTTTTTGGTTTGATTGTTATGTTATTCAGGGAATGTGGTAAGTATTGTGCCCCGTAGTGTGATTTGGTACGATGTTGTTGTCATCAATTATTATGACCCATGTTGTGTTGAATTTTTTGGACGTAATGTGAATTTATGGGTTGGATTTTACGTTTACCGTAATGATTGTACTGTCACGGATATTGTTAGGGGTATGGTGGTATAGTGTTGTCAGTGTGTTGTTTTTGGGGGCCATTGTGTCATGTGGTGTGTTGGTGGCATTGTGGTGTTAAGTATGTGGTTGATGATGTTTCCCTGGTTTCTATGTTGTGTGCCGTTCGTTATGTGAACGTCAAATGATATGTTTAATATGGTATTACAGTTCCATAATGTTATAAACTCACCCGTAATGTTGTTGTGCTTTAATGGTAGTGTGGGTTTTAGAATTTCAGTAGGGGTATAGTCATGTAATGCCTATTCTTTTTGTGGTTTTATTTTTGTTAGTGACAATTGGTGTGTTTGAGTCCTTTTGCAGTTTGGGGCCTTATGTGTTTGTAATGGTATGTTTACAGGAAGTGTAATGTTATCGTCATTTGTGGTCTTGGTTCTATTGGTGTGTTGTACTATGGCAACGATTCCCCTGGTCTTTCATTAATGGTGATGTGGACTGTTAATGGCATCTTTGTTAGTTGAAATGTGATGTTAATTATATACATGTTGATGAAGTCTAATGCCAGTGTCATTTATTGTGTTGGGTTTGTAGTTGTGTTGTAATATGGTAGGGGTCCCTGTTTGTTGATGTTTTGTAAATTGGTCTGCATTTATAACGTGTGTAAATTGCAGATGGTATTTAATGTGTGATGTCATTGTGTAGATATTAGTGTGTAATACATGAAATGAAGTACATGCAACATCAATTGCAAAATTGACATTGAAATGGATGCTTATTGAAAATAAGTCATTAGAAATAAGCCATTAACATTGAAATGGGACTCGGAAGTTGAAAATCTGTACAAATAATTAATTTGTACAGATTTTCAGCTTATTTGTACGTATTTTCAGTTTTCGAGTCCCATTTCAATGTTAATTCATTAACATTAAGCACTAAGTCCAGGGAGGGAGAGAGGGCAGAGCCTCTCTCTTTAGGTGATTTCCGGCGATGCTCTGGCGACTTTCGATGATCCTTTTTCTACTTTCAAAATGTAGATCTATGCTCCTAGAGGATAGATCTACTATTTATGAGTGTAGATTTGGACTTTTTATGTCCGAAATAAGAGTTTTGAGAGTTTTTTCCTCCGATTTTGGCATAGATTTTTGGTATTTCAACACCCACAATGGTTTCCTCCTCTTTATACCCTTCTCCCTTACTATTGTGGGTGTCCTCCCTTCTCCGGCGACAGTGGCGGCGGTGTTGGGCAATAGCGACGAGGATGTTGTCAACAGGGATGGCGGTCTTTCTTCCAGACTACATCTTTGAGAAGATCGGTGGTTTTCCTTGGATCGTAACTGTTTTTTTGGCGGATTTGTTTTTTGTTGTTGTTTTTTCTTTTGTTGTTTGGTTAGGATGACCCTTTGGGGTCTTTTTTCTGTACTCTATTGCTTTATCAATATATTGTTCCCATGTCCTCAAAAAAAATCATGAACATTGAAAAACACACACACACACACACAAAATGACAATGTAAAAACGTTAACCCCTTCTCCCCTAAACACATATCCAACACATCAACAAAGTAGAATCCACCAAAATCCCACCAAAACGGTAAATAGGTAAAGTCTCACCAGAACAAATCAAAAAGAAATATTTCTTACTAGCTAAATAGGATCAAATAGTTTATAAGAAAAAACACTAGACTAAATAAAGTAACATTCTCTTAATTAAGATTTATCGGTAATTTTTTCTTATTTTATGGTTTAATCTTTTTATATTGAAATTTTTTTTTAAAAAAAATAACGCCCAATTAGTACATATTAATATGTGTTTGGGAGGAAAAAGATTGAGTACACATCTAACCTTTAGCATAATGCACAAAGTGGTGGCCCCAATACTTGAACCCATAACCTTAAAGTTATTAGGCCAAGTATTAACTATTGAACCAGTACATATAAATATATTTAATAAATATAATTCAGGAAAGGACATGTTAGAACGGGTGTAGGAAGCTGTTAGCTTTTTTGGCTTTCGAAGATTAAAGTGTAATTTGAGCGTGCCAACAAAGATCGATAAGTCCTTACAGAAATAATAAATGCCAACTAATTAATTAGACAATTGCTTCAAAATTCTTTTAACCTTAATGAAGAGGACTTTTACTGGTAGCTTGTTTTAGGAGAAAATTCAGAAGAACTAATCACAATAGTAAAAGAAGAAGAGAGAGAACAGTGTCAGAAAATAAATTTCATTAAGTAAACAAGTGTTTACAATTGTACCTTTGCACTTCCACAGCTTCGAAGAGAATTACAACAATGAACAGACTAACTTAGAATTATTCCCAAGAAACTGAAATGCAGTGCGGGAAATTACAGGACTAGAAGGTAAAGAGCTGGAAAAATGTAAGGTAAAATAGATTGATTTCTGAATCTGGTTATAGATCCTGTAAATATAGCTATTAATGACTATTTATAGAAAAAAAGTTCTAGCAATAACTACCCAATAACTACCTAAAACTACCCACTCTTTCACTTTCATTCCCACAATGCCACATATCCCTCAATGTATTCCACTAAGTTACTTTGTCCATCATATTCTTCACATGTACTTTAACTTCTTCCACCTTGTCTTCCATGTTTCACCATGTAAGGTCATTAACTTTATAATTTCTCTTAACTTCTGATTGATTAAGAAAGTATCACGTGTCCTGCAATAATAATAATAGTAATAATAATAATATTACTATTTATTGTGTCAATAGAAACAAAACTCTTCCCGCCCCACTTTCTTATCGGGATGGTAAACAAGGAGGAAGATGCTAGGGTTAAGCAAAGTGAGAGAAAATCACCATCCTATGAGGGGATGAGGCAAGAATTAACAAATAAGTGGAATTTTTTTTTTTTTTTTGAAATTACAATGGAAATGGAAAGTGAAACTAATTACAAACAGGTATTTCAAAATGATCTCATCTGCTTCTTCCACCCTCTTCTGCCATTTTCTTCTCCCATTTTCTTACCTTTGAACTCCGGCCACCAGTCCAGTTGCTGGCCCACCACTTCCCTACAACCCCCCCAGTTCGTCCCCCACCCTCCTCCCCAGTTCTAATTGAAGTTAATTGTTCTCTTTAAGAAAAAAAAATTGAGTATGACATACTCGTATACATATGTCACTGATGAACAGGAAAGAAATTTTGTGATTGGGGAAAGAAATGATGTTGAAAAAGGGTAAAATAGTAATTATACATATACAGTTGACTGCAGTTAACTAACAATTCTAACGGAATTCCAAAAACTGCAGAGAAAATTCGTGCAATTGTCATATACCAAAAGAAAGATCTGTGTGATTAGCCCAATCCTCAATTACAGTCATCATACTCATCCTTCAACACAGAAACAAACAAACAGATTACTATCATTACACTGAACCAAACAGACCTTTCCAGCACTCAACGCAAAACAACATCTGAAACACACGTCCAAACCATTTCATAGCCGATGTGGAGGCTGAGGTAGAAGCAGAAGCACCACTGCAGTAGTTAAACCCATACCAAACATTGTTCGGTATGTAAGTGTTATAGTAGAAGGAAGCAGTGCCTGTATAATACCCATAGACTTGCACTGACTCTGGTTTCCAACCATCGTATCCGCTCCTGTACAGGTACAAATAGCAGACTTGGTACAAACACGGCCCGTATATCTGATACGTATCCACTGAACACCGCTCAAACGTTCTGGTAGATGGATCGTCTAGCCTCGGTGCGTAAACCTGATATAAATAACAATAACAATCACCCAAAAAAAAATATATATATACATACCAACTTTCAGAAATCAATCTATGTTTGATTGTGTTCATGTTTTCATGATAATGAAAAGTTTATCATTTCATTTTGGTGTAAACCAAAAAGAGAATTATTTTTTCAAAAAGATTTTTAAAAACTATTTGCCAAATCAAAATTTTTATATTTTGCAAAACATAAAACAAAAAATAAAAACACAATCAAAAGAAACAACAAGTCTAACAAAATAATTTAAACAAAAAAATGATCTCATATGAAAGAAAATTCAGGAAAATTACAATTTATAAAGTGATTTATTCCGTACTGGGATTTCATTTCAATCAAATATTTTTGTAGTCATAAAAAATTCTCAGTTTGGCATGGAATTGAAGGATCACCATTTTAAGTTAATCCATACATGATTGTGCTTATGTTTTCTTCATTTTTGTTTTTATTTTTATTTTTTAAAAATAAAAATAATAAAAAAGTTAAAAACATTTAGAACATCTCCAATTTTTCACCAATTCTTTCATCAAATTTAAATTTAATGAATAAAGAACTAAAAGTCAACTCCAATCATTTCATCAAACTTATATGGGAACTTCACTTTACCCCTTTGATTTGGACCATGTGCGGTTTATTCCCCTGACATTTAGAAATAACCACATAACCCTCACATGATTGTGAACTAAAATGCATACTAACTTCTGTTAATAGAATTTGTGCATTGACCTTTATACCCTCTTCTTCTTCCGCTCTTCAAAATCAAACCTATATATATATATATTTTCTCTTCCTTCTTCTTTCCATGGTTGCTAAACCCAACCTGATGCAGCCCATACCCACCCAATACCCACCCAATCACTGCTTTCCCCACCGACTAGATGGGGGAGCTTAAAACCTTTTTGAACAAAAGCACATTTGGATAATCTTATTTTATTAAATTTAAATTTAAATACTATGCTGCCCCACCACAAAATTTGCTTCACAACACACTAAAAACAATGTTTTCATTTCAAAAATCACACACAATCTTCATAGTATTATTATTATATTTATCATTTGTTGATTTAAAGCCTTTATTCTCCCATGGTGCCAACTCACACCCCAACACAGCCTACTCCCACTCAGTGACCATCACACCCAATCATGGCTTCTCAATGATCTGATCACAATTTGATGGCAATATATATAGCTATGCATATAATTACCATCTATTCAACATCTATTTTAACTCCATGATAACAATATATATGTATATATGTATAATTCTTATCATAATTAAAGTAGAATTACTTTTTACAACAGTAGAGAGAGAAAAGGGGATGGCGGGCCAAAATGGTAGTCAGTTGAGGCGTGAACGTGGGTTTGGTGAGACATAAAGAAGGGAGAGGAAGTTGCTGTGGTATAATGGGTTGGAGTGAGGGAATAGAAAAAGAAATAGTTGAGAGAGAGAGGAAGAAGAAGAATGGCATGTTTTTGTAAATTTAAAGATGTGTAAAGGGTATTTTGGTCTTAAAATATAACTTGCTCTCTTCATAACCGTGTGAACCTCACAATTAATTAACTTGGATGGAAAAGTGAATGGTGCACCTTGGTCCATAAATCATGTGGGAGTTATATAGTCATTTCTAAACATTAATGGATAATGGCTCAAACCACATGAGGTTAAAGTGATGTTTGCCCAACTTATATCAAATCAAGGGAAAGACTAAATTTCACCAAACCAAAGTTGAACCAAACATTCAACTATCATATTTTTGCTCAAATTTGATGAAAGGAGAGAGAGAGAGAGAGTATTGGAGGAGATTTTCTTTCATAAAAAATGGTTAAAATAGGTTTTTAGTATAAATTGGGAATAATGGGAAAAAAAAAAAAAAAAAAAAAAAAACTATGACAAAAAACAGAGTAAGGAATGGAGTGTTCTATACCACATGAAGCTTTAACCAAAATTTCACTCAATGTGATGAAAAAAAGAAGAGAGAGATTAAGGTTTGGAGATGCTCTTACCATTTTCATTTTTTTGACATTTTGGTGTAAACTAAAAAGTGAATTTCAAATATAAAAATAAAAACCATTTGCCAAACAATTGCTTCATATTTTGCAAAACATAAAAATAAAAAATAAAAACACAAGCAAAAGATAAACCTCAATCTGACAAAATATTTGAAACAAAAAATGATATCATATGCGAGCAAAATTCAGAAAACATATATTTATAAAGTGATTTATTTCTTACTGGGATTTCATTTCAATCAAATATTTTTGCAGTCATAAAAAATTCCAGTTTGGTGTGAAATTGAGGGTTTACCATTTTAAGTAAATTGTTTGATTGGTTAATAAACAATTAATGTCAATAAGGACACATCTCTAATCATTGATTCAAACCTATATAAAAAAATTTGGATAAAAATCACTCAAAACACAATGTACTAATCATTGATTCAAACCTATATCAAAAAATTTGCCAAACAATTTTTTTGTATTTTGCCAAACATAAAAACAAAAAACAAAAACACAACCAAAAGATACACCTCAATCTAACAAAATATTTTGAACAAAAAATGATATCATATGACAGCAAATTCAGGAAAAATATGATTTATAAAGTAATTTATTTCTTACTCAATTTTCAATTCAATCAAATATTTTTGCAGTCATATAAAATTCCCAGTTTGGTGTGAACTTGAGACCATTTTAAGTGATTTGGTTGATTGGTTAACAAAAAATTAATGTAAATAACACATCTCCAATCGTTGATTCAAACCTATATCAAAAAATCTGGATAAAAATCATTGAAAACAACACACTGCACTACCTGACCCAAACTTTTACCAATCAAAGTATTACTTAAATCAAAGAAGACTCAAATGTTTATTCTAAATTTTTGAAGTTATTTTAGTGAAGCTGTCACTCAAATTAATGCTTAAATCAAGTTTATTCATCAGAGTAATTAATATCAAATAAATTCGGACACAGCCTAACGACTTCTAAATCAAATTTTTCATAGAAATATAAAAATTACAAATTAATATTAAAAATGATTACCGTCTCAATTAAACAGAGAGTTTCTTATGAATCGTTCAACAATATCATGCAGTGTTTGGTTCATTGGAATAAAACAAAATGGAATGATAACTCTATCAAAATATTCATTCAAATGTTTGGTTAGACTAAAAAAATAATGAAAAATGCATTACAAATGGAATCATCTTCCACTATGTTAAGAGAATGATCATTCCATAAAAAATCACCATTTCATCCCATTCCATGTAATTTCAATGAACCAAATAGAGCATCAGCGTATTATTGAAGCTATTAGATGCGAATTTCTCAAATGGATTGGTCTTAAATCATACACACAACACAATCACAATCGCAAATACATAAACAAATATATAACTAAATTGAGTTAGTGAAGTGGTGAAACCCTAACCTGATAGCCATAAGCATCGCCAAACGATAGACTGATTTGATCTCGAGTGTACCTAGGTGAAGAACAGCTCGTCCTTATAGTCACCGTGTATGAACAGCTCGCAGAACTACTCTGCATCAACCCCAAGATAAACAACAATGAGTAAAGTTTATAGCAGAAAATGAAGTTTGTTAGTTTTGGGGGATTTTGAATTTTCATACCTGAGAAATGTTGGGAGCGAATGAGGGAAGAGATTGGGGCTTGAGAATGATTGATGATCGAGCAGTGGCTTGGGGGGAGGAGATGAGGATGAGGGTAACAAAGAAGAAGAAGAGCATAGAGAACTTATTCATCTTCACCAAAACCCTCTCTCTCTCTCTGTTGATTGTTTCTAGACAGAGAGAGGCTGGTCTGACCTTGGATCTTGGATGTCTGGACTGCATTTATGGCATCTTGTATCGATCTCAACAACGAGGTACCTGCCACAAAAACTAAAGAGTAATATTAGAGGGTTCAAATATTCTATCAAAAGTTTTATCAAATGTCTCGTATGGGTGTGAGATCTATACAATGTGGGTCTTATGTGGGTCTCATGTGAGACATTTGGTAAAACTTTTGGTAGAATATTTGGGACTTCTAGTATTTTTGAAAACTAAAAAGGGTATATTGGCCTTTTAACATCTCATCTCACCATAGGATAAGAGTATAAAAATGACTCGCGACCCGTGGACGGCTCGGCTGCAGCCCGAGAAGGACCCATCCCATTTAGGCCCGCTTGCGCCCAAGCTCGAGCCCGAGTCCCTGGGCTAGGGCTAGGGCTTGGGCCATCGTTTTGACGCCTGGCCCGGCTCGTGGCCTAATCCATCGGCCTGTTTAAGACTCACTAAAGGTCCGGGCCGAAGCCCAGTGTATTTTTTAATGAGAAATAATAAAATTTTGATAGAAAAAATTTAAAAAAACAAAAAAAATAGTCAAGCTCGTCCAAGCTTGAGGCCAAGGCCAAGGCCAAGCCCATTGGGCCAGCCCCCAAGGCCCGAATACCCCTGGGCTTGGGCCTGAGCTTAATTTTTTGGCCCTTGGGTTGGCCGGCCTGACCCGAATTTTGGCGGGAGCCCGCGAGGCCCAACATGGGTTAGGCCGGGCCAGATTTACACTCCTAGCAGAGGAGTAGGGTTCTGGTCCCACCATTTTAGGAAATTCTATTTCCACACACTTACTTATAGTACACCTATTTAATGAAATTTTATTTTAAGGACAATTATATTCTTAAGCAAAATGACCATATGAACAATAATAACAATAATTTCAACAATGGCACTCAATAATTTCAACAACAACAACAACCAGAGCTTTGATATCAACAAAAAAAGGAATAGAAAGCTACTGGTGTTGCTGTTCGATGTAGTGGACACCATCGTTCGTGGGTGGTCCTTTTTACCACGATGTTCCTGCCTTCTTCAGGTAACTCCACTCATCTCATTGATTTCATTCCAATCCTTCAACCCTATACCCCTTTTTCATTACTTTGTTGGTTTCTTCTTCAATTTGGCTTCTCAAATTTCTAGAGGAAAGCTCTCTTTGGCAAACCAGTGACGTTTTTTTTTTTTTTTTTTTTTTGTGTCGAGAATCAACTGTCAAAATTATTATTTTTGTTCGAAAAACAATATTCAAATAAATAATAATAATTACATATGGAAATCAAGTTTTGAAATTTTAGGAATTTTTTGAAGGTTAACAACTGAAAAAAAATAATTTTATTTAGAAAACTAGTACCGGCGAGCTTAGCTTTGCTTTCGACAGTCCCTTCTTGTCGTCATCTTTGTCGTCAGTGGCGGTGAGCGAACAAGCTTGGTCCTTACACTTCTTGTCTTCTCCTGAGAGGTTATCTTTCTTCTCTCCAACAACTTCTCCATGGCTATGGAGCTTCGAATTCGGTGAGCCGAGAGACTGTTTCCTCATGTTCAATGTATGTGTGTGTGTGTGTGTGTGAGAGAGAGAAACAGTGAGAAAGATACAGAGATTTATGGCTTGGTTCACTAGAAGCTAACTGTCGGTTTTCGGTGGTTATGTGGGTGTGTATTTGAGAAGAAAGTGTGTGTACAATATTTGAGGTAAGGGTTAAAATTGAAAAATATACCGTGTGGAATGAGATAAATAATATCTAATCAAATTGATAAATGTGTGCACTGAGAAATAATGTGTACTGAGGTAAGTAAACGTGTGGAAATAGAATTTCCTCACCATTTTCTCTTAGATCCCATTTCTTTTAATTTTTTTTATTACAATTTTATCCTAACACTAATTTTTATTTTTACCCATCTTTAGCCTTCTAACTCTAACCCAAACCCTCCATCTCCACTTCACTCCACTCCACTCCATTTCAGCCGATAGCCTTCTTCAACAGCCTCCTTCTTCTCCTCTCTCTCTCTCTCTCTCTCTCTTCTTCTTAATCTTCTTTTTATTCAGATCCGACCACCTTCCACCCTGCCATCACCGCCTCTCCACTCTTCATCATCACCAGCAACCCTCATTCTTCTTCCTTCTCCTTTTCTCATCTTCATCATCACCATCACCGCCCACCATTACTGTCGACAACATCTTTACCAAACCCTAGCCACCGCGAGGAAGAGAGATCGAGCAAGATAGAGAGAGAGAGAGAGAGAGAGAGAGAGAGAGAGAGAGAGAAAGAGAGAGAGAGATTAAGTGACAGAAAGCAAGACAAAGGTCGAGCGAGATAGAGAAAGCAAAATAGAGATCAAGCGAGATAGAGAGAACAAGCGACAGAGATCGAGCAAGACAAAGATCAAATGTGAGAGAGAGAGAGAGAGAGAGAGAGAGAGAGAGAGAGATGACCCAGATCGAAGGAGATGGTAATGGTAGATCCAATCTTCTTCCTCTTCTCCTTAAATTGATTCAGCAAATGGAGAGCCGTGGCCGTGATCTTCGCTGCAGATTTGGAAGAAGAAGAAGAAGAAGAAGAAAAAAAAAAAAAAAAAAAAAAGAAAAAAAAGAAGAAGAAGGAGGTCATCGGTGGGGGAGGTGCTGGGAGGTCACCAGAGGGACATGACTACCGGTCGGAATTGATGAAGATGAGATTAGGGTTAGGGGCTAGGGTTTGTGTTTGGTTTGGAGTTAGGGGTATAGTTGGTATTAAGGTAAGGGGTTTAAAGAGAAAATGGAGGAAACTCATATTTCTGGGTGGGGGTTCAAAGAAGTGAGGTGGTCAAAGTAAAAAGGTGGGGGCAAATAACAGCCCTCTAAGGAAAATTCTATTTATAAATTCTCAGTACACACTACAAATAGTATTTAGATATAAATTTTTGAACAAAAATTGGATGTTCGGATTTAGACTAATAAACAAAAATAAATTGTTTAAATATATATCTGTTCAATTGTTTATATTCGAATAACTACTTTCTGTTCATAAATTTATATATGAATATTTGACTTTTGTTTGAAAATTTATAATTAAACGTCATTTGTGTTGTGTATTGAAAGTTTGTATGGGGTGCAAATAGAATTATTCAAAAATTAAGTGGAATCTAAAATGAAAATTTTTTAAAAAATTAAATACACATTTTACCCCTATTGTGCAACTTAGATTTTATTTTAGTTCTTATTGTTCAATTTGAATAATTTGTTCTTTATACTTTAAATTCAGTTTCAATTTAATTCTTCCGTCTAAATTTCTATTAATTTTGTTTGTGTATACACTTTACATTTTTTATAAGTATTTCAAAATTGTTAATTTTAACCTTCAATTGAGTTGAAAGGATCACTTGAGGATTTCTACCTTGAACTAGAAGAGGTTCTATTTTCTTTGGACAAGCAAACTCGGAGTGAGAGATCGGAATGATGGAAATTGAAATTATAGTTAAAGTGTGGACCTTTTGTTGAAGTATTGAGAAAATACAGTAACTTCTACAAGTTTTGTATACTTATATGAAAGAATTATCAGTAAGTCTTATTTTACTCTCAAAATTAGTATTGAATCCTATTATCTTTCAATATAGACAATTAAATTCTATTTTTTTTTATAAATTATTCCAAAAAGTTCAATCCTCCAATGTATTTTATCTATATGTTATCCTTCTAATTTAAAATAAACAACCATGTCATAATTAATTTTAATTAACTTACAACCATTAAAATAAATCCTCTCACAATGTTTTCCTACGATATCTTTCTCAGTTTTAGTAAATGGTCACCAGTTGGAGTTTTTCTATCCTTGTACGGGCTTCAAACAAGGTGATTCCTTGTATCCTTATCTTTTTATTTTGGTAATGCAAGTGCTATCGGTTGGTTTCAATTTATCTTGTGTCACAAGGAGTTTGTAAGTGGATAGCTATTAGTCGGTACTCACCTTCTGTTTCGCATTTACTCTTTGTGGATGACATTTTCATTTTTATGAGGTTTATTAAGGAGGAGGTGTGGATTTTGACTTGGTTTCTAAATGCGTTTTGTGATTTATCGAGACTGAGAATTAATTTGAGAAATTCCGAAATGTTTGTGAGCCCTAGTATTGAGTTGGCACAAAGACATTTCCTTCAATCCATGTTAAATTTTAAGGTGATATCCCATCAAGGAGTGTACATGCTTCTTTGAATTTTTCTCTTCATAGTAAAAAATAGATTTTTGAACCTTTAGTTGATAGAACTCAAAATAAACTCCAAGGTTGGAAGCGCAGGTTTTTGAACAAGGCTAGGTGTTGTGTCCTTGTCAAAATGTTCTTTAGTCAATTCCTCTTTATATTTTCTTCCTTATTTGAGTTCCTGGATTTATCATTGCGCAAATCAATAGCATTATTCAAAAATTCCTTTGGTTTTCTGATAAATCCAAAGACATTTATTGGCGAAAATGTGGGAGTAATTTGTTTACCCAAAGGAAGGGGAGGGTTGGGAATCTGATATCTAGCCAGTTTCAACCAAGCCCTTTTAGCGAAATATGTATGGTGACTCCTCAAAAATCCTAAATCACTTTTGTCTAAGGTTCTATTAGGGAAGTA